AGGCTTTCTACTCCCGTAAAGATTTACACCCTCGGAAACCCTGTACAGGGTCGCTATGGGTCGGAACTGACTCGAAGGCACTTAACAACAACAACTGCAGGAGAAAGATGAGCCTCAGCATCCCTATACAGGGTGGCTGTCAATCACCACCCTGGGAACTAATGGCAACAAGTTTAAGAGGAAGACTATGAGAGGGAAAAAATGTGAAAATGTGCTACTTCCTAAACCTCAAGTATTTTCCTATACTTTTCGTTGTTGTTGGAAGGTTCACAACATGCACTTTGGTACATGGAGATTGAAGGGAGTAGGATCAACCACATCACTGCACCTGGCCGGGCAAGTGACGAGAGATACAAACACGTGGCTAAAAGGAGAAGCTTCAAGGTAGCAGCAGGAAAGCTGCCTCCAGACCCGGAAGCTGGCTGAAAGGGCTCTATAAGGAAATGAAGTGGAGAACACCGTTTCTGGGCGATCACCAAATGTGCAGTTTAGTTAAGTGTGTTTGAGAGGGGCACTGGGACACTTTCCAATTCTGCAGATTATCAGAGAATAAAGAATTCCTGGAGAGGAAGAACTAATAAAGGGAACCAGAAGAGAAAGGACACCTGAGTCAATAGAGACAGAACTGCCCAAACTTGAGGTGCACAAGAAGTAGGAATTTTTACTTACTTTTACCTGAAGTAGGGAATGGAACACATGCTCCTTGGGACAAGTAAGGGAATAAAAAAGATGACATCATGGAGAGAAGTTAGACCTCTGTAGTCATGTGATACACAGGAGGCTCTTCCCATGTGGCATGTACTGGACAATATGGAACCGTAGCGATATTGAAGAAATGTGAAGGCTGATAATGAAATTTATTTTTGGTCCCAGAGGGAGCTGCCTTGATATGGGAGGTGCAGGGAAGCAAGTATACAGAGAGCTCACAGGGATGGCAGGGAGAACCCTACTTCTTGCCTGTTCCTACTGATACAGGGGGAACCCTGGGAGGAAGCTGCTGCAGGACCACAAAGTGGGTGGTTTAAATCCACCAGCCAATCCTTGGAAACCCTATACAAGGTCGCTATGAGTTGGAACCGACTTGATAGCACTTAACAACTGATACAGGCAGGACTAAAACGGTTAGTTTTTAGCAGAAGAGAAATATCTTTCAAAGGTATTGTTGATGTTAAGTGCTGTGGAGTCGGTTCCAACGCAAAAGGATCCTGCATAGGGTTCCTGAGACTGTAAATCTTTGTGCGAGCTCCTCTTTCTTCAATGGAGCAGCTAATGAGCTCAAACTGTAGACTTTATACAATCCAGTGCTTATCCTACAGAGCCACTGTGCTCTCCCTGCACTCCCCCCCCCACACACTTAAAGTTATGTGCTAGTGTTTATAGGGATTCTTCCTGTTGAGATATAAGGCTGTGGCAAAACCAAAGGCGTTGTAAGAGAACAACCCCTTCTCAGTGACTAGCTTTCTGTTGTTGTTAGGTGCCATCGAGTCGGTACCAACCCACAGCGACCTTATGCACAGAACAAAACACTGCCCGATCCAGGGCCAACCTCACTACTGTTGCCACACTTGAGCCCATTGATGCTGCCACTTGGCCAATTCATCTCGTTGGGGATCTTCCTCTTTTTCTTTGACCCTCTACCTTACCAAACACGATCTCCTTCTCCAGTGACTGGTCCCTCCTGACAATATGTCCAAAGTATGAGAGACGAAGTTTGACCATCTTGGCCTCCAAGGAGCACTCTGGCTGCACTTCTTCCAAAACGGATCTATTGGTTCTTTTAGCAGTTCATGGCATTTTCAATATTCTC